TCAGAAGCTTCGTCCTCCGCTACGCATGCCGACGAAGATACGCTCTTATCCTAACAAAGTTCACCCCTCGGCCACTTATCGTAACTACTCAGTTTTATATTCTAACGTACGAAGTGTTCTTAACAAACGGGATGCATTATCTTCAATTTTTGATGACTGCGCCGCCGATGTTGTAGTGTTAACGGAAACCTGGCTTACCCCTAACACTGCAAGTGTAGAGCTGTTCGATTGTGAAAATAATTATACCATTTACAGATGTGATAGAGAAGAATCGCCAGGAGGTGGTGTACTTATAGCCGTAGCTGATTATATAGTTTCTAGCCAAGTAGTAATAGCATCACCTTTAGAATTTCTCTGTGTTTCCCTCCATGTCAACTATCAAAATGTCATAATTTGTGGCTGTTACCACCCTCCGAGTGCGACGCCAGTGTTTTGCGAGCAACTGCATGATGCTTTGAATGATATTGTCAAAAGGCACCCGCATGCACCTGTTTTTCTTCTAGGCGATTTTAACTACCCGAAAATAAACTGGTCACTTCCTTCTTGTTCATTAAGCTCACTTTCAGCCGACAGTTTACATTTCATGGAGCTGTGCGAAGACTTTAACCTTTCCCAACTCGTAACGCAGCCAACAAGAATGGGCCCCACTTCATCAAATGTTCTTGATCTGATTCTCACCACTGTACCAGACCTTGTCCATTCTATTTCATATATCCCAGGCATAAGTGACCATTGTTTCGTGCACTTCAATCTAACAGGTTCTTTAAGGCGTCGGTCAAACAATCGGAAAACAATAAGAGACTACTCACGCGGCGATTATGACTCAATCAACAGTGAACTCTAATCGAATTTTGAGAGCTTTGCTAGTGGCTTCTTTGATCGCAGTGTTCAACAAAACTGGAACTTGTTCAAAATGAAAGTTGAATCTTTAATCATGCAATACATTCCCACATACGTTATCAAGGGTCGCCAACGCCTCCCTTGGTTCTCAACTGGCATAAAAAAATTGCGGAATAAAAAGAAACGGTTGTTCCTTCAGGCAAAGCAGACTAATTCGTTCGCCCGTTGGCACGTGTACAAATCTGTCCTTTCCGAATACAGAGCAGCTATCAAGGAAGCCAAGCGCGTTTTTCTTAATAATACCCTTCCCTCAATTCTTGTAACCAACCCTTCTAAGTTTTGGAAAACTGTTAAACCTAGGGAAAAGAAAAACATTTTGCTTACGAACTCGGACGGGCAGCCAGTTCGCTGTGAAGAGTGTTGCATTGCATTAAATGATTTTTTTGTTACTTCTTTTTCAAGTTGTTCTGCTTCTGCGTTGCCACAAATGCCTAGTCGTGATTTTTTACCCATGTTTCCTGTTACCGTTGATGCCGTTGGAGTGCAAAATTTAATTCACAAGCTTAAGTTATCCTCTTCTTGTGGCGTAGATGAAATCAACTCAAAGTTTCTAAAAAACACTGCATTGTATTCATCAATTTACTTGTCCCTAATCTTTTCGCAATCTATTCAGACCTCCACTTTGCCGTTTGACTGGAAAGTGGGGAAGGTGGTCCCTCTGCACAAGTCTGGTAACACACAGTCTCCTCTCAATTACAGACCAATTTCCCTAACCAATGTTCCTTGTAAAATGTTAGAACATATAATTTACTCCAACCTTGTCTCATTCCTAGAATCAAACTCTTTGTTTACTCCCTACCAGCACGGATTCCGAAAACGTTACTCATGTGAAACCCAACTTCTTTATTTTACTAATGACATAGCATCGGCTTTAGATCGCGGCTCACTTGGGCATTGCATTTTTCTTGACTTTCAAAAACCTTTCGATAAAGTACCTCACCAATTACTCCTCCTGAAAATTAGTGCCTTAAACATTGACCCGAACATTCTTAAATGGATTGAATGCTTTCTGACTAATCGCACTCAGTTTGTAACAACTAATGACTATAACTCACCTCTTTCTAAAGTAACATCCGGCGTACCCCAAGGTTCCATATTAGGCCCTTTACTTTTCCTTATATATATTAATGATCTCCCCGACAGCATTAACTCCACTATAAGGCTATTTGCAGACGATTGTGTAATTTACCACGAAATAAACAATGAATCAGATAACCAATTTCTACAGTCAGACCTTGACACTGTCTCAACCTGGTGCAATAAATGGCTTATGACTCTCAACTCTAACAAATCTAAATGCATGTCAATAACCCGGCGATCTATTTCTCCCCCCTGGACCTACAGAATTAACGCAGTTCCCCTCCAGCATGTCTCTTCATATAAGTACCTCGGCGTTTACATTACCAACAATCTATCTTGGCACACGCATGTTACCTACATCTGTAATAACGCTAACCGAACGCTAGGATACTTACGCCGCAACTTTTCTCGCGCTCCACTGTCCCTCAAAATTCTACTATACCGATCACTAATTCGCCCGAAGCTTGAGTACCTGTCCGCTATATGGGATCCCGTGCAGCAAAATTTAATCAACGCGTTAGAATCTGTTCAGAACCGCTCAGCTCGGTTCAATTGTTCTAATTATTCCCGTACTGCTAGCATATCAGAAATGAAATCTAACCTTGACCTGCCCAATTTAACTGTCCGGAGGAAACTGGTGCGACTGCATTTTTTTCATAAGATATTTTTTCACAATCCATCAATGAAGCGAGACCTCATTTCACAACCGTCATACCACTCATCGCGCATTGATCACCAGCATAAGGTTGCCATTCCGTTTTGCCGCAACAAATTCTTTTCAGCAGCCTTCTTACCGAAAACAGCCGCCGATTGGAACCACCTTCCCTCTTCCATTGTAACAATAACAGACCCTTTGTTATTCAAGACTGCAATTTCTCAGCAATGTTTGTAACTATATGCAGTTTCCATTATCTATCTTTGTCTTGTATGTGCTTGAATTCTTCCATATACATTTTTAGTTGACTTATGTTGCCTTCGTGATTTGCGCATCTGACACTTGTTTCTTTTCTTTGTCTTTTTTTCTTGTGTGTTATAAAATGTTGTACCCACCCCCTCTGTAATGCCCTACGGGCCCTGAGGGTATTCTAATAAATAATAAATAAATAAATAAATTTATTCACATGGGTAATAACTGAGAATTCGAAAGGAGGTGATCAAATGATCAAGCAAGTATAAGCTTGCTGCAGAACTGAAAGGAACTAGAACTCTGAAAATATACAAAAGGTCTTCCGCTTATATAGCGCCGCATTGCCAACCCTGGGCGCACTGTCCGCGGCTTCAGCCAATACGGCGCTCGATGGTCTAGGTGCTCCACCCACGAAGGAGGGAAAGACACCACACAATGTACGTGGAGAGGGCACAGTCTACACAATGCCCAAATATGGTCACGAACGCGCTGCACCAATGCTTTGCTCATACTACCAAGATTTCGCGCACGTCCGATGATCCTAGATGATCTTGGTTTTCAAGATCTTTTACGGCAAGTAGGGTGAGGTTCAAAAGACTGGCTCCCCGTACACGTGTCAAGCTTGCCTGACTGCATTTGGCTAGGACAATATAGTGACCTGACAGCTTATCGTCAAACATGCCACTCCATTTAGCCGATGCTCAGGTGAGAAGGGGAAGTAGGAGCGGTCGACTAATCCCTCGCCATTTGCTAGAACCGGTTTGGGTTTTAGCTTTCAGCCCGAACTGCAACTACCACGCTGGTTCCGGCCTCTCCAAATCCATGGTGACCTCGAAAATCGGCCAGTTGCTTCCTTGTTTGCCTGGAAAACCTTGCATGGAGTCGACTTCACAATGGCCTTTCCTTGCTCGTGCGCTTTCTTAGTGCCGAACCGGTCCTGGGACCCCTTGATCACGTTTTGCTGAAAGGAAACCAACCCGTCTTGATGGAACATTCTTGCTTAGAATGCCGTTGAAATATCTTCGTCCAGTTCATAAATGCCGAAAGAACTTCAATAATGATGGCGGTCACGACGGCACATGCAGTTGATAAGGACGGGATCGCACGTGCCACGTTGAGTCGTGCGCGCGGCCAAAGCCCCGCTAGCGACATATTATGCTGTAGCCGCGTCGGCGCCGGTGCAAAGGTTTATCAGTCGCCAAGGCAACCGCCCTCCTCCCTTAATCAGCAACCCCGCGCAGTGCCTCACGGCTTTTTTTAATTTTCTTTTTTCTTCCCCCGCCCTTCGTTCCTTCACTCCTTGTCCCCTCCTCCTTCGTAACAACCTCCTCGTTCGCTCCCCAGCGCACCTCCTTTTAGAAGCACACTCGATACCGCATTTGTCACAATTTCTGGAAACTGCATTATAACCAGTATTTCATCTTGAGGGACTGCACAATGAGCGGTATGCGTATACATGGGGTTCTATGGGAGGGTAAACAAAAGTAGAAAAATACCACATTGTAAGTGGTTGTGCACTATAAGTGGTCTGCGCTGTAATTGAATCTAACACACACAATTTTCTGATAAAATGACTCCATAAATTGTCTGCGTGCGAGTATCAAGAACAAAACCAGGGTTGGCCTTTTTTGGAGGAGTTAGGAGCAGTAACATCTGAAACTGGTGGCTGCATTAGTTGCAAATTTACATAAGTTATTCCTGTCCTTGACTGCGAACTGTGGGTCAAAAATCAGTTTGTGACAACCATACTCCAGCACACTAAAGGTTAACAATTAACAGGCCTTGACCAGGACTACAGAAAAATTCATATCATCCTGAAGTTCGTGTTAGCCTTGATTGTATCATTGAGATGCTACTGTGCCAAGGTGGCAAACAATGAATGCCGGCCAGATTGTGGGTATTGATAGATTTGGTCTCTTAACAGCCTTTTTTCTTTCAATAAAACTGCTTTCTGTTTTAGTGTTCTGAATTGTAAATTTCAAATTTGTCTTTTGGTACCCACTGCACAACAACTTCCCATAGAGCCAATTTTAGTGTCAGATAAATGCTGAAAAAAGGAAAAAAAATGCCCAGGTGAAGCCCTCTGTCCCTACAGTGCCACATAGTCACTCACCTGCATCGTCCTGCTCCGAGCTGATAATGTCTCTGGTGACTACTGCAACAGAAGCCAACAAAACTTTATTATACGAGACTGCACAGACATGTGCACAGTGCCAGGTGATGGCAACACATGTGGTGTGATGCTGTGTGTCACAACTGCATTGCACACACATATTGAAACTAAGAACAAAAAACAAATTCCCGCCTTGGACAAATCCTAACCAAAGCCGTGTGAAAAGAGAACTAATTCAATCGTAACACAAATCATCAAGAGCCTTGCAAAACCAGTCCCTCGCTAGTGATGTAAGAGTGGGATGCTCAATACATCGGTTCTCATCAGAGCTATGCCGAGTGGCTGAAAATTACATAACAGGTGGGAGAGCGCAGCATTGCGGAAAGTAATACTGGGCTTCCACTCTACTACCTCAGTCTTGCTATATAGCAGCAATGGGACTATTGTTTCACTGAAATCCTTGATAAACACACTTCTCCAGATACAGGTTGAAAATACAAAGCATTGAATGAACACAAAGTCATAAATAGTTACTTAATTATGATGACTTTGATGTATTGAGGTTCATAACATAGGGACTCTCTTCCTGTTAACATTCCATGTGCATAATAGTACAACTACTGCAGGTTTCACTACATGTGCTCCACACATCGTGCTGACTTGTTCGGAAGAATTTCAGAGCTCCTGCTTACAAGGTACAAGGTACAAGGTAAGGTACAAGGTAAGGTACAAAGTACAAGGTACACGGTACACGGTAATAAATTTCTCGGTGACAGGTGCGTAGCAATGAGGAATGGCCACCGCTGCAGCCACACTCACAGCTTTGCGCGAGGCACGACCTGTAGCTGCCTGACCTGATTGCTGCTGGAACACTGCACGCACCTGTATAGTTATTGTTGCTACTATTGTGACGCCATTGTCACTTTTAGCCCAGTGTTTGCATTATTTTTTCTTTGCTGCTGTTTACATTGACTGTCCCGATAAAATGACGAATCTGTCTTCAATAAAATAAGCATTTGTGGCATACATCTACCCAGCACTGCCAGTACAGCTGTCGTCGTGTGTTGATGTACAGTTGAACCCCACTATAACGAAATTAACGGGGCACGCAAAAAATTTCATTGAAGCAAAAATTTCATTCTACTGAAATGAAAAAAAAAAAATTGGCAGATCTCACATACAGTGGGAATTGATGATATGCGAAGCACGAATGAGAAATGTTGATATGCCACTTTAAAATCAGCACAACGTTGCGAGGTGGAGGTAAACGATGCCGTACATGATTTCCGCGTCATGATTATTATGTTTGGATGTGTTGTTTACCTTCGTCAGCTATTCATGTCACGTGATACCAAATTTAGCATATGTGGAGCTAGCGTAACGGCCGCGAGCAGGCTATGAGCATGTTTGCACCAGTCATATATTTTGTCATCCATGGACGTTACGTAACATCGAATTTGGTATATGTGGAGCTAGCAAAACGGCCGCGAGCACATCATGAAGGGCCCAGTGTACTCCAATGTAGCGTTGACGCGCGCACACGCTGGGCACAGTGACGCTACGTTAGCATAAAGCGAGCACTCTATAGTCTGATGCCAGGCACGACCAGCGTCCGTCGGCACGGCCCGACGGTAATCGGCGCGAGATGCGACATGCGCGCGCCAATGCTTTACTTAGACAACACCGCGTCTGCCTATTTTCGTGATGGAGGGACGCCGGACGTTTGGAAACACCCATGCGTCAAAGCAACGCAGCACGGCGCGCGCCAGAGAGTATATGGCAGAGCCGGCGCCTGGCGTGGCAACGCCGGAGTGACGCGATGAAATGAACGCCGCCGAGCATGCGCACCGCATCACGTCGAAATGTATTTTTGCCTTGACTCATCCATTGGCGTCACGTAATACCGAATTTGGCATATGTGAAGCTAGCGACACGGCTGCGAGCGCACCATCAGTGTGGCATGTAGTCATGTTGTTACATAACATGCATGTCGTGATTATCATGCTTGAATGTGTTATTTACCTATGTCGGCCATTCGCATGCCGTAATACAGAGTTTGATACATGTGAAGCTAGCTAAACGGCCGCGAGCGCATCATGAGCGTAGCATGCAGTCTTATTGTTACATGACACGCACCTCATGTTTATCATGTTTGCACCAGTATCATACCTTCGTCATCCATTCACGTCCAGTATTACCAAATTTAGTATAAGTAAAGCTAGCAAAACAGCCGCCAGTGCATCAAGAGCATGGCATGTAGTCATGTTGTTACATGACAGGCATGTCATGATTATCATGTTTGCACCAGTCACATACATTCATCATTCATTCATTCACGTACTGTAATACCGAATTTGGTATACATGACGCTTACGAAACATCCGCGAGCGCATCGAGAGCGTGGCATGTAGTCATGTTGTTACATAACACGCATGTCATAATTTTCATGTTACGGTCTGTTGCTGGCGTTTGCCATGCAATCATGTCATACCATACCAGTTTTGCGACATGCCTTGTGAACAAAACCACCGCAAGAGCTGCAGGACCTTAAAATGTAAATCATAACATTCACGACACACATGTCATGATTTTCATGTTATCCCCAGTCAAATAAGTTTTTCACACAGTCATATTATGCCATACCAAGTTTGGTATCGACACCATTATCGAAACCGCCAGGAGAGATAAAAGTCGTAGGCGGACGGACGGACGGACGGACGGGCGGACGGACGGACGGACGGACGGACAGACAGACAGACAGACAGACAGACAGACAGACAGACAGACAGATAGATAGATAGATAGATAGATAGATAGATAGAAAGATAGATAGATAGATAGATAGATAGATAGATAGATAGATAGATAGATAGATAGATAGATAGATAGATATTGTAGAATGGATGGATCCACACGGACGCTAGTGGAGTCGGCCTTGGCACTATCCTTGCGCAGCGGAAGTCTGGCTTCGATGAGTACGTCGTTTCTTACACGAGTCGCACTCTGACCAAAGCTGAAGAAAATTATTCGGTCACGGAGAAAGAATGTCTAGCCATCGTTTGGGCAATCGCTAAATTGAGACCTTACATATATGGTCGGACATTTGTCGTCGTGACTGACCATCACGCCCTCTGCTGGTTGTCGTCTCTAAAAGACCCATCTGGTCGCCTAGCCCGTTGGGCATTACGACTCCAAGACTACGACATACGCGTCGTCTACAGGTCAGGGCGCAAACATTCAGACGCCGACGCTCTCTCTTGATCTCCACTTCCCCATGACTGTGCAAATGCGCCTGTTTCTACCTACAATTCTGCCTCCCTCACACACGCTGACATGCCATCCGAACAGCGTCAAGACCCTTGGATAGTGTCTTTAATAAAGTTCCTATCGAAGCCATCACCGAGTACCACCAGTCGCTCGCTGCGGCGCACAGCTCGCCATTTCACCATGCGCGATGGGCTACTTTACCGCCGCAATTACCTCAGTGAAGGTCGCAAGTGGTTGTTGGTGATTCCTCGCCATCTACGTGCTGATATTTGCGCCTCGTTCCATGTGGACCCCCCACGCGGCCACACTGGTGTAATAAAGACGTATGCACACGTCCGGCTCCGATACTACTGGCGTGGAATGTACCGATTTGTCCGCCAATACGTGCGTTCATGCTCAAAATGTCAACGCCAGAAGAGTTCACCGCATGCCGTCACTGGACCACTCCAGCCATTGCCCTGCCCATCCCGACCTTTTGATCGCATAGGAATTGACTTACACGGCCCACTTCCATACACACCTGATGGGAATCGCTGGGTGGTTGTCGCTATTGATCATTTGACACGGTATGCTGAGACTGCCGCGCTGCCAGAGGCTACATCACGTGAAGTCGGCTTATTTATTCTTCACAAACTTGTTCTTCGCCACAATGCTCCTCGCGAGTTACTCAGCGACCGTGGACGCACGTTCCTCTCAGAAGCCGTACAAGACCTCCTGCATGAATGCAATGTTGTCCATCGAACGACCATTGCGTACCATCCCCAAACTAATAGCATGACTGAACGCTTCAATCGCACATTAGGCGACATGCTGTCCATGTATGTATCTGCTGACCACACCAACTGGGATCGCATACTACCATTTGTCACCTATGCGTACAACAGCGGCACTCAGTCCACGACTGGATTTTCTCCCTTCTTTCTTCTATATGGCCGTGAACCCTCCTCATTTATGAATACTATTCTGTTGTATTGTCCGGATACTTCAGAGTCTGCAACTATCTCAGAAGTCGCCACCTATGCGGAAGAACGCAGGCAGCTAGCACGTTCGTTAACTACGCAAGACCAAGCACAACAAAAGGATCGCCGTGACGTCAACCTGCATCCCCAGTCATATTTGCCTGGAACACTGGTGTGGCTTCGCGTTGCCTCCTCAGCTCCAGGCCTTTCTTCAAAGCTGCTGTCTAAGTATGAAGGCCTCTACCGCATCCTGCGTCAAGCATCCCCGGTAAACTACATTGTCGAGCCCGTACAGTCATCCACAGACCCCCGCCGTCGCGGCCGTGAGACTGTTCACGTCAACCGACTGAAGCCGCACTATGACCCACCAGTTGTACCTGTGCCTTAGGTCGCCAGGATGGCTCCTTTTCAGCGGGGGAGTGATTTGTAGAATGGATTGGGTGCATTTAGCAGTGCCTGCAAAAGACGAGGAAGGGGACCGTGGTTCGTGCTCGTGACAGCTCCTATTTGGATCGCTGAGCGCTTGACCTGTGTTCGTTTTTAATGAACGCGTCGTGGACTCAACGCTCAACGCGTACTATAGATAGATACGCTCAAGGTCGCCGAAGTTCGCTAAGAAATGCTTCGCATTTAAAAGGCTGACCTGACCTAGCAACACAAGAACTCTTATTCCTGAAACTCAAAAAGTTTCGGCTGCTTCCTTTCTTTCCCAGCATAGCCATGACAGAATTCTCACACATGCATAGCGATGCCATGCTGAAAAGCACACTGAAACAATGGCATGACTGAGCGAAACAGCTGTACTAACACTAAATAAGCCTAGAATTGCATCGTCAAATTTAACTGAAGCCAAACAGCAGAAGAAGTGTTCGTTGTGCTGAGAATATCCATGCATCAACTCCTATGGACTGCTGACGGGGAATCGAGAATTTTTCGTTGAACCAGAAATTATAATAAAGCAGCGTACATTGCAGTGTGGTTCGATAATATGCATTTCATCAGTGCCTTTGCAACCCATTTAAACAAGGTACTGCTCCAAGCAATTTGCACAAGAGTGGCACAAAAGCAGTCTGTTTAGCTCACCTGTGTCAGCGACAGGTACAGCCACTGAACTTTTCTCCGCAGTTCTGGAAAAGTCCGGCCGAACTTCGGGAACAATGGCACCCACAATCCGTGAAGCCCTCGTACGGGCAGGCTCTGGTTGGATAAGCCGAAGCAATAAATGCCTTAGTGTATGCGCCCTCTTAGAAATAGCAATAACTTCTGTTGCAGCAAAGCTGTGCTGAACAAGAAGTACTTTGGTTTGGGCTGGCTTGTTCATACTACTCATTTTGAAAAGGGCAGCATAACGACACAAGGAAAGAAACACAAAGACAGTGCTCTTTGTCTCTCTGTCTTTCTTTCCTCGGGTTGTTACGCTGCCTTTTTCAAAATGAGCTGGGCAGTAACAAAGCAAGAAAAAAAATGCACAGCACACAGAGTACGACCCAAAAGTTGAAAGTTCAGTCGAGCATGAGTGTTTGGAAAAATGCAGTACCCTTGAGCAGGGGTTCTCAGGTATGTTGGTACAAGGGAATCACCCCAAGCTACAGTAAGTGCCCGCCCCCGGCAAGGTTTTTTTCATTTTTATTTTCAATAAGTTCAAATTCCAAATCCATACTTTAAAAAATACCTCAGGAGTAAGCTCTATGTTTCGCCTTCTTACTCATGTAGAATGATGCACAATCGTGTTTACAGGACACGCTACGCTTAGCGCTCTAGACACATAACGCGTGGCCAACAATGGTGGTAGACAATTGAGCGTAGCAAAGGGACAAAGCCTAAGCGTAGCAGCACCTATCTTGAAATAGCCAAAATGCGCATGGTGGTAATATGAGGCCTCCCGAAATTTAAGCCATCGTGCGTGCCATTTTCTCAGTCTGGCTGACTGCAAACTGTTGCCGGGATTTATTATGCAACTGATGCATTTCTGTTACGCAATGAGATGTGCTTACTGACACTCAGGCATGAATAATGGAGGTTTCCTAGGTCGATCACACATCGGAATCACCGTCTAAGTGAGCTGAGTGCGGAACCAAGAAAAATTTATTAGTGGCTCGTGGAACCCCGAAGAGGGGCCCTGTGGAATCCTTAGGTTCTGCGGAACTCGCTTTGAGAACCCCTGCCTTCGAGAATGGGCATAAAGCATACAATGGTTACGAAATTGGTGATATAGGTGGACATGCAGCATCGACATAGCCTGTTGCCTCACACCCTTTTATCCATGTGGCTTCCTCAAGTTGACACAAAACCAATAATGCTAAACACTGAGAAGACCAAAAAAATTGACATTGCACGAACTCAGCAAAATCATGACGCACAAGAAAAATTCAAAACAGGTAAGCTGTGTGTGCATGATGCTGGTCAGTTTACGCATAACCTAGAAAAGATTCAGACACTTTGTGGACACGCACTGGTTGACCGAATCAAAACCAGACATTTTGTAAAGAGAACTACAGCTCAAGGATTGGTTTTGTTCTAAAAGAATGCCCCTGTACAAATCTCTACTGTGATGTGCATGCCCATCATTCCTTAGTACATCATTCTTTGGCAAACCAAACTCCTGAATGTCCTACGACACTTTTCGTTGTAAGAACTAAAATTAAGGGAAGCGTGCGCACTTTTACTATGTGAACATGCTGCCGCAAGAGTTTTGAAAATTAATGCTATAATAAGGCAGTTACAGAAGGTAGAACATTCGCTTCAGCCGGTATCAAATACGCTTGCGGCCTCACCAGCCTTCTCTGCCATAGGGAAGGAAAGGCGTAGCCCGCCATCACGACTTCGCCCCCTTCAACAACCTGACACATCAGTGATATGTTATCGGCGCATAGCCAGTGAACAAGCAGGCCATCCCGGACTTGAGCTCGTATCATCGTGGTGCAATGAGGAAGTGCAACTCGCGGAGCACCTTTACCCTAGCAGTCAAGTAGTGAGACGCCTCTTTATCTCGACGGCTTTCGTTCTTGCGATACCGCTTATCTTGCTGTAGGGAACTGCACAGGAAAGTGAAAATGCGGATTGCACCACTGAAACAGCATCACCACAGGGTTAAGGCACCGTTCGACGAGTTCCGTGGTGCATAATGTTGCCCATGGGCAAGCTTTTGTGAGACCACACAAACGAGGTGGAGCAATCAGGAAAGAAAAACAGAGGCTGCGTTGTATTTTTTAAATGGAGGGTCTGTGTGGCGTGCAGCCATGTAATAATCGAAAAATGTGATTGCTGTGGTCAACTGTACAAATTGACGAGCTTGTTAAGAGGGTGTAAAAAAAAGTTGCAGCCCGTTTATTGGCCCTTTGAAAACAAATACTGTCAAGAATTTTACAGTGACACATGCATATGCTGTATAATATAAATAAAAGCAACATGATATAAGTAAATGTCATGCACCGTTAGAAAGAAGCTTCTTACCTACGAGTAAACAGCAATGACCATAAACAATCGACACAATCAACAGAAAAAATAAAAAGACAACTTTTGCCTACAAGTTGTCTCAGGTGAATCCACAAGGGGCTGTGTGATTTTTTAAATTCTTTTCCACAGAAGTACTAGCTGTATGCTGTTATTTCTGCAGGTTACATGCATGGACTTTTTCCCCTTCCCAGTGCACTGCATTTCAGGATTTTGGTTGTACATGGTAATTTACAGAGTGTTTTAGAAGCATGGCTTCACAGCAATAAAAACTTCATGCAAAAAGGGCGGTTTAAGCATACCATGCCGTGCTGACTTGAAACCACCTTTTTATATGAGTTATAGAAAAGAAAACGCATACATTTGTTTGTTTCCTGAATACTTCTAAAGCTACAAGTACCAGCATTTGAGCTATAATAAACATCTGATGTCACATTCAAAGGCATCCCCCCACTTTCACTTGAGCCAACAATATTGTTTCATATCTCTATTTCTTTTTAATTTTCTGGTAATTGGTAGATTGTGATCAGAGAAGGTAACAGTGCCTTTATAAATAAAAATTTCAGACAACAGTGTTGGCCTTCTAAAATGTCAAAGATATAAATGTACAGTAGACTTGTGATGATTCAAACTCTGATAAATCAAACTTTGGGGTTAATTAAAACAAAATTCAATATTTTGGTTGGCCCTCTATTCTTTCAATGTATATAAAAGCTTTTTAATTCAAACTCTCTCCTTTGGTGAATTCACACTTTTTGCAGATCTATACCAGAAAATATCAGCTGCTTTCCCACTACTACTTAAAATTTGTGTGCTTATATGATTCCAACAGTCTGAAAATGAAAAATAAGCACCTGAGGCCTTCAAGAAAAAAGGCTTTGCAAGTAAACAAATGTTCGAAACGAAGCACACGCATGGAAAACTGTGGTGCTTCTCAACTGGTATCCAGAGCTTCGTGCTAAAGGCACGTGTACAAAGAAGCAGTTGGCAATTCACGATTTCTTTAAGAGGTCTGATCACCAATAAATGGCTAATAAACTTGCGGACCTTACATCTCTGCTTTCTGTTCATGGCATGCAGTTAGGGTTTAAGAACACATAAAAAATTTTTAAATGTTATAAAATCAATGCCTAATTGTAACGTGTGGTTTCACTTCACCCACAGTCATATACAGTCGAACACGGTTACAGTCGAGCCTACATATAACGTCCCTACTTAAAACGAACTTTTGCTTAAAACGAACAATATCCGCATGACCGTGAAAATATACATTGGTTCAATGGCACAAAATCGCACTTACAACGAACGTCTCCGAGCGCCGCTGATCGGCTACAGCGAACGGAGTCAGCGGTCTGCCTACTTCCCGGGAAACCAATTTTGACTACCGATCAGGCATCGGCGAGGTGCCCATAGATTCTCATTGTTAAACGCCGACCCTGCCTTCGCGCACCTCTAGTTGCCGCTCTCCCCGACCGCTTTTTGTTACGCACCCCTCCATCCTTTGTTCCCCTGCTACTTTGAGCAACCCGTATCGCCAGGCGAAGCCCGTGTTTTCGCACTGCCACCGATCTTTCGAAGACGGGTCGGCCATCTACCCTGTTTTTGATCGCTGGTACTGTCGTTGGCGTCGCCGGCCTGGAGTGACCAGACCATTTGCCAATATCGTCGGCCACCGACTATGATGACTTTCGATTAGTTTTGTGTTTAAGACTTGTTCTCGCTCACTTCACACTCGGCTCAGCATGCCTTCCGCGCGCGTGCAGAAGCGTGAGAACGGCTGTTAATTTGCGCGGAACAAATCGCGAAATATCGAAGTTCGTGAGGCCACGCAAACATGCCGGCACAACAAAAGCCAACTTCTCGTTAATTTCAATGAGCACTTTTTCGAGTGCTTTCGAGCACTTTTTCGAGAACTAGCGGTTCAATGGTTTTTTTCACCACGGCCGCCGATTCTTCGAACATCGCCGCGTGCACCGATTCAGGCAGCCATGCACTCTTTACAAGTTTTTCTACGTGCGAGTTTCGCGGACTTTTCAAGCAAGCTACCCAACCTGCCTCCTTCCCGTGTGTTTTGGTTTTCAAGGTTGCTCTCCCGCCGCATCCTCCCCTCTCATTATCGCAACTCCTTGCGCTTCTCTCGCAAGTCTGCTCTCCTCTCTTGATCACAATCCCTTCGCCCGTCTCCACCGCTCCGCGACCCCCGCCATGCTGGCTCAAATTAGTTTCATTTTCTGACTGGAAACGGGCCCGGAGCTGTTCCACGCGTTCTGGCATCTGTGTCGCGTGTGCGCGTCTTGCTTGCTCTTGGTGTGCGTGTGTGGTCATGATGGCCGACGGGAGGACTAGCACGATTTTTCCTACCGCTCAACAAAACCTCGAAAGTGTGACCGCTTGGCTTGAGCGTAATCTGCGCATTAAGTGCCACGTTGTGGAGCGCTTGCTCATAGCTGTTGATCACCTGGCAGCCAACTTGCCGCTTCGGGCGTCCCGGTATTCAGCTGTGAAGATGGTGAATATTTCGTGGGCGACAATGACGACTACATGCGCGTGAAACTTTTTGCGCGAGGCCGACTTCGTCGACGTTGGGCCTGATGCGAGCCTGAAGCTTCCGAACTGCGGCGACGATTTGTGGCAGCGCGTCGTCGACTCTGACCTGAGAGAGTGGGTGGGACATCTGTTGCGATGGTTTAATTACGGCCGATGATGATGCCGACACTGCGGAACCGTGCACGGATTAGGGCATT